GTAACGTTTCGTAAAGATAAATTTGCTCATTAGAATTATGTCAAGCTCGAGAAAGTCATCAGTGTCTAACAGAATTATTAGTATAAAATAATAACGATTTAAATACAATTTTTTTTTTTGTACTTATTTAATTATATGCAAAACCATTGTTCTTGACCCACCTGTATTGACCTACTCCCAAAAAATAATAATAAAAATGCAAAAAAAAAAAAAAAACACATCATGGGTGGCGTAACTGGGTTATAACTTATTTCGATTTAAATTACGGCATAACAATATCATAACTGCATTATATGTTGTAACTCTATGCCGTAACTTAATATAGCATACATGACTATCGCTATATATATTCGCTATATAAATATTAACATATAATTTTTACATACGTACGTGACTAGCTATACATCATATAAAATTTGATTTGTACAGTATTAATTTTAACCTATCGCTTTTACTTTAGTTATTCAACTTCATTTAATATTCGTGCCATCAAGCTTGCAGGATTATAATCAACTTTTCCAGAACCCAGCCGTTGAGTTACTGTAACTGACATTCTGCTTGGTCTTCAATAAACATTTTATTACCAATAAAGATCGTGTTTGAAATGTCAATTGACAAATTATTATCACTGATTTCTTCTGGTCCGCTGTTTAATGAATTCCAATAGACTAGCATTAACAGTTGTTTTTCATAAAAAATTTTCATTTATATATTTTAATTATGACGTATTTATTACACAAAATCGAATTTTTAACTTTTATTAAAATTACAAATAATATAATACGAAAAGTTACACATCTAATTAAAGTTTATTATTACGACACAATGTGATTACTTGCCGTGACGGGTTGTATGCCGTAAAATTCATTGGGACAATTCTACCGCATCTCTAGTTGGCACATTTGTCCATTGGCATGAATGGACTCTAAGTCCATTGACCAGTTCCATTGGTTTCATTGGACGGTCACTATTCCAATGGACCAATGGAAATAAATATAGCTTTTATAAATGAGTTTAGAATACTATACCACGTGATATTCGAGATTTTTTTTTGGTGTTGACCTTATTCTGACTTATGCTAATGGACTAATGGGCCAATGGATCATGATATTGGTCCATTGAGTTCCATTGACAAACTTATTTTCAATGGACATATTCCATTGCCAATCCTGGACTGTACCCAGTGACGAAAATACTTCCAACAGCTAACAATTATTTCCAAAGGTTTGTACTTTCTTCCAGAATTAGTAATTCATCTTTCAAAACACATATTCGAACATAATGTGCAAGTCACGTCATATTGATTAAAATCGACGCGAATCTTTTTAAGACAAGTCAATAAAAATTGATCAAATCTACGAAAATGACCCTCCGAGGTTATGTTGATTTTGTGAATAAAAATTAAATTTGCCAGCCATCTAGTAATTCAATTCGAACAAAGTTGTTTTTGTTTTGTAAATCTCAATAGAATCTACAAAATAAAAAAAATTTCATTCAAATTTGATAATTTTTATTCAAAAATTAACGTAGCCTCGGAGGGTCATTTTCATAGCAAAGATCCCAAATGGTCAAAAACAATATTTTTGTTAATTATATATTTACTTTTATCTTGACGCTATGACTTGAGTGCCATGGTTACGTTTATTTGATTGAACGCTCATTTCTACGATAGTACTAATATTTAAAGCTCGAGCTTTCAAGTTTATTGACGGGTTTTGTAAAACAGCTAGATAGCAATCATATTTTGAACGATCACATTTTATGTCTTTCATTTTTTCGATTATTTATATAGTTACAGAAATTTTCAAAGGTTTGAAGTGAAAGAAATGAAAAAATTAGTGAAGTATTCGAAGCCATATTGTAAAGAAAAAAAAAAGAAATTACATATTTAAAATGCTTTATTAAACTTGCATTAAAATTTATACTTTAATCGGTATAAAATTTAATCCAAAGCGACGTCTAACATAACTAACAAGATTTTTTTTAAAAAAAGCACAGGATAATGATTAAGGAATTAAGTTTTTTTTTTATTATAGAAGAACAAGTACATCGCAAATAGAAGAATTTCGAAAATAAGTGGGAATGGAGTTTAGAAATTCTATTTCTGTTTTGAATTCCGAAATCAGAATGTGAAATGGGACCATATGGAAATAAAATTAGTAAAAAAAGTTTTATTTATCATTTATTATTAGGATTTTCGTTTGCATTATCTTTTTCATCGAAAGATAGTATAAATAGTTATATAGTTGATTTATTTTAACAAAAGTTTATTGAAATGTACAATTTTGGTTTACCGGAATAATATATTTGAAACGATATTACCTAAAATTATTACCTAAAATGTCAATTAAACATTCAGCCTGGTTACCGCCTTTCCGGTTTTGTTAAGTGTGAATGTTTATATAATCTACTTTTTTTACTAGCCTAGTTAATACCAAAACTCTTGGCAAAATTCTCGTCTGATTTTCTAGTTATATTATTGCACCTATTTTGTTTTACCTTAATAGAAAGTAAACATTTATCATTATGCGGTTTTCAGAGATCTAAAAATAACTGTTCTGGTAGTAATGTAACCAAGCCATTTCCTCTATACAGATTTAAAAATATCATCCGATAATTTTGTGCGAGTTATTCGACTACTTCCTAATGCAATACACAAATTTCCATTCATAATTCATAATAAGAGCGTGTGAAAATCGTGCATTTATATTACTATATTAGGAGGCCATAAAATCGGGTTATATTACATATGACATGTCAGATGTATGAGTGATGATAAGTGCGTTTTTGATAATTCTAACGTTGATTGATAACACTTGCATCGTTGGAATCAACCAAAAGTTAAAGATTTAAATTCAATAACTAGATTTAGAACTAACAATTAAATTTAATTTAGAACTAACAATTAAATGAATAATTAAATGACCAATTAAATTTAATAATTCATTTATTAATTAATTTAATAATTAATTTTATTAATTAATTTTATTAATTAATTTTACAAACTTGCAATGTACATACGTATAATATATTGTGTTGATAGGCAATTTGCGGATTTCTCCAATATCACATAGTGATGTACGTACGAGATAGTGAACAATCTGTATTTTACTTGCATAATATGCGGGATGTAAAAATAAACTTTGTAAATAGTTCCAGATTTACTATTACAGTACATTATTCAAATAAGCCACATTAATAATGGATCTGAGCCATATTTGTACGATTGTGAACTCTATCTAGAATTGTGCTCACCGTTATCACTGATCTTTTGATTAAGATTTGTGCTAATACGTATATGAAATTAAAATCCCGCGGTGCCCTGCTAATCTATGACTTTTTTTAATAATAATCATTATTTTATACTTACACAATGTTAATGGTTCATTTACATATTAATATGAATTATTCAATATGGTATATACTTAAAATAACAATGAAAAGTAAAAATGCGCACTAATATAGTATAATACAATATTTAGGGATAGGAAGGTTTTGTTACTATTGATTTTTCTTGATCAATGCAATTTTTTTATTATTGGTTGTTTGGCTTTCAATGTTAATGTTTTCAATGTGAATGTATGAATTAAACGAATCTCTACATTGAAGTATTGTAAAGAATTAATCAGTTATAGAATTTTGTCTCGGTTATTGTCTTCATTATAGTATTACTATAAAAGCCAATTAGTCAAATATTGATTCAAAAAAGTTACAAGTATAGTTCGAGAATCAATTAACATGGTATGAATTAATATCATACCCGATGTAATACGTATTTAATTACACAATGTATATTGATATAGTAATTATATAAGAAATTTGTATAACCTAATACTGTATAATATCATATCCGATATGTTTTTTTTACATTTTTATTGTAATTACACAAAGCATATCGATATAATAATTATAAACAATGAATTTTACTTTGATTATGCAAATTGTGCGTACAGTACATACCTTAAATAACATTCCTAAAATTGACATAATACTCCTAAATTGATGAGATTTCTAAATTGATGAGATTCCTAAGTTGATATGACATTACTAAAAACTAATATACATTCAATGCAATGCAATGCACATTTACCATGCTTTAAAGTTTTCAATTAGGTTTAATTAGGTTTCAGGATATTTTCTTTGTTTATCTTTATTTAACTAACCTAACCTTCTTCTAATTTATAAACATTCGAAATATTTTTCGAATCGCGTTAAAAGCTAGAAATAGATTCTTAATTTACACTAGGAATAAACAAATTCTTTTAGGAGAAAAAATCAAAAACAATCTTTAAAAACATTCTTGAACAAAGAGGGTATAAAAACAAAAAGATTTAAAAATCATGCCATAAACATTGTGTATATCAAATAAAGATCGACGAGTTAAGGTCTATTTCCGAACAGCCGAGGTTTACTAAGGGAGTTTAGCGTTTGAGGTTTGAACGCCCTATAACCATTAATTCCTTTTTAATTACTTTTGTACCCACGTACGAACCAATCACTAATAATCTGTTCAACATCTTTTGCAAACGTTTATCAACTAATAAATTTCCATAAAGGGTAAATAAATTTTATGACGAAAAAAGTGATGTGAAATATCGATTTATGTATTTTCACATCAATGAGATAAATGGCCGAATTAACTTTTTTGTAATGTCTGTTTATTGGTACAAATAACACTAAATCGCAATTTACATTCCGAACAAGTTTGTGCATTCTTTATTACTTAATAAAAATTTGTGCACACTTTATTTTGAATAAAATTTTTGTACATATTTGCGTACGTGTACTGTACATCAATTTTTTTATAAAATCCCGGTCGTTTGGATCTTGGTTTCGTGAATTAAATTCAAATATCTATTCTTCATTATATTTCAGTATATACTTGCACCTTGCCGCTCGTTTAGAAAAATTATCTATTTTTAACGTCCTTTATTATAATATTATTATATTATATACTCTATTTACACATTTTCTAACAGTCATTCGACTTATTTAAAAATATGCAGCAACCAACTGATTCAACAGGTTCGCCTAAAAAACAATATGCTACTTACAAGGTTTGTACAAAGAAAATAACGAAAATTGATTCATTATTTTATTGAGACGAGCATTGATCCTTATCTTTATTAAAATCCTATAGCTTATAAAAATGTTTACTACGGATAATAACACATGTCCAGTTTCACATGACCACGATTTTGATATTAGAGACTTTTCACAAACTCAACTTTTTTATGAAATAAAAAGTGACTCTAATAACTCAGAATGTACACCTTCATATTGTCGTGAAATTTATAGAATTGATAGTCGGGATAATTTATATTGGTACAATTCTGCTGCACTTAAAGTTGTACCTTCTAAAAAATATTTTCAATCTTCTTCCCCTCAAACTTTATCTCCAACCACTCCAAAGTCTCCTCAAAATTTATCACCTTATATTCCAAAATCTCCCCAAAATTTATCACCATCTATTCCAAGGTCTCCTCTAACTTTAACTCCACCCTCTCCATCATTTCCTCATCCTTTAACTCCTCCTAAGTCTCCCGTTTCTCCTCCTAAATCTCCTTTTTCTCCTCCTAAATCCCCTATTTCTCCATTCGCGTCCCCTAATCCAATGACTTTATGGTCGATCGATTTTGGTGATTTTAAATGTTCAAGAATTTTAAAGAAATCTGTAAGACCAAAAGCTTTCTCAATTACTCATATGGAAACGGGTGCCAGATCTACTTTTATTCATACCAAAAAATCCGCACCTTCCGGTTATGCTGGTGAAGTTAATACTCCATTTGATAAAACTTGTGATCAAAGATATAATTGGGTCCTTGACCCACATAATCAAAAATGGTCTTTAATTCAATCAAATGATCCTCAAAGAATACTAGTAGAATTCAAAAAGACTAGTATCGATAATGAATTCTTAATTGTATTTTTAGAGAAACCACCTTATGGTTGGTCACCACGTATTGCTGATCGTTTATCTAAATATCATTCTGCTAAATCTGAAAGAATGAATGGATCAAATGATCGAAGAGGTTCTGATAGTTCAAATGGTAGCGGTAATAATTCTCTTAAAAGCCCTTCGTTAAATGGTAGCTTTATGTCAGATAATGATATAAATGATGAAAAGCATTGGCAGGAATTCGTCTTGGCTTCCACTGTGGCCATTCAGGACGAAGTTAATCCTAAGAAGCGAAGGTTGTGGAAATAAATCGGGGGAAAATAAACTGATGAAAATAAACTGGTGGAAATTAATTGGTGAAAATAAAAAAAAGAACGATGCAAATAAACTGGTTAGAATAAATCGGTGAAAATATTATTGTATTTTTAAATAATAATGCTGTATAACTATATTTTTTATTTTTTTTGTAATTCTCATTTATGCATACAGATAAAAAATGTGCATATTATATATATACATTTAAATTTTGTAATATAAATATAATAAATATATACACTATCCAATATTAAACATCTTTATAATTTTTACACGTACATTGGTGTCAGTATATTATAAATTAGCACATTTTCTTAGTTTATTACATAGAATTGTGATATACCGTATTGATATTCATTGTTATCGTCGTTTCTAAACCAATACTAACTACCGTATAGTGGTCTATACAGTAACCGGTGACAAATAATGTAGATTAATTTTTAAAATATTATTTATATAGGACATGTGATATACACAATTGCGTAATGCACGTGATTGTTAATTTTTCACTATGTAAAAATTGTATCACATCGGGTACTGTATAGAGCGGTAGTTTCCGTGAAGACATTTGTTTTCGAATCATACAGACTAGGATTGTAATAACTTATCTGACAATGTAACTTAATTTTAAGTTACATCGCAAGTTACAAAATATATAAAGTAAAGCAGGCCGGCCAAAATAATTTAGCCAGCATTAAAGTTATTAAAGGATGAAATTTTTATTATTATTATACATAACTTGCACAGCGACTTACATAACTTAAAATATGTATAAACATTTCAATGCATTTATCACCATTGTTCTGAGAATTCTGATTGTAAAATAGAATTAACTTACATTTTAAAAATAACTTACAGTAAGTTATACAACCCTACTACAGACCCTTATATTTCGATACTATCTTTATTATTATAGCTAATTGTTTCTAGAAAAAAGCAATCTAGGTGGTCATTTCATTTAAATATTGACACGACAGATGTTGAAACCATATTTAGTTGGCAGGTATATGCAAATTTCTTATAGCTCTCTCTCAAAT